AGGGTAGTGTTGGTGCGTGTCAGGACCAATACTGCGTGATGTGCTGTGAACATGTTGTATGTGGTGCGGTGCCCGAGGATCTGGAGAGGGGAGTTCAGTGGGAGGCGTATGTCTGCAAAATACAAGATCATTTGCATTCATCAGGGCTGGAGAAGACTGGGGTTTAACAGAGAGAGTTGATGGAGCAACATGCTAGCAGATGACATTCACTAAGGAGTCATTTGAAATACTCATTTCTGTTTCGAAGGTCGAATTGAACTACAGCTACTTGGAGAGCAAAAAGGCCCGTGGTTATGTTGTGGAATTTATGGCCAGATTTTAATCATGTTTGGGTCCCGAGTATTTGGGCAATGTGACTTAGAAGTCTGTTTCATTCCTCTTCAGTGACACTCAGGTCCCCGAAATGCCATTTCCTTTAGAAAATAGGACTTAACATCTCCTTATTTTCTAGAGTTGATCTTCGGTGCTGCAAGTCGAAGGATTAAGCGGAATATTGGAGTGTGTGAAGGATGGGACAGAAACTGATTCTCCAAATGCCATAATGTGGAAATCAGCGGGCTGATCCCCGAATGCCACATTCGGCTCTGATCTCTGTGACTCAGGGATGGATAGAGCCGCCGCAGAAGCCTTTGAGCCAGCTGATGAAAGCATTTAGCAACCTGGAGATGAAAGATCCAACAGAGTGGGGCAAACAGATGAAGGCAGCTTAAAAATAAACGTTCAGTATTGATTATTTACCCTTTCATGCAGAAGAAGAAAGGGACGTCTACGTGGTTAAAGCCATTTAAAGAGAAACCATGCGCTAGAGAGAAATATCTTGACAGAAGGCATAAATAATGTGTGAAACTCTCCACCAAAAGGTCTCATGAAGGGCAAAAAGTGGAGAAGAAAGACAGAAGCAATTGCTATGAGATAACCCCAGCTATGTAAGTGGAGATAATTTTTTTATTTTTAGCCTGTTTTCATGAAAATAGGGCTTATGCAATCGGCCGTCTGGGTGCAGGAGGTAGTGATAGCTGGTGTCTGCAAGCTCAAAACTGAAGTCACTTCTTGCAGCCAGAAGACTTCTTTTTGAAGCCCTGTTGAGGTATTCCTGCAGGCAGGTGCCGGTCTCTGCAGAGGCAGCAGCTGAAAGCCATGGGCTCTTCCCTGGTTTTGTTTAAATGAATGTATCTGCTTGCTTTAAGGAGCGAGGGCTGCTTGGGGCTGGAGACCTGGAGTCAATATAAGGGGAATTTGGGAGAGGGCGAGGAGCTGATACAGACAGCACTGGGTGAGACATCCCAGGGGTCTCTGAGCTCCCACAGCTCAGCGTCCTGCGGGTTTGGCAGAGCTGTGCTGGGCGGCTGGAGGGTGTCAGGGACATGTGCCTGCGGTGTCACACTGCCTCACTTTTGCTGGCATTACTAATGCCCTTGTGTCTTTCTGCAATGCCTGCTGCAACCTCCTGCCTGGGCAGAGTTTATTTTGGCTTTTACCACTCTCTTTCCTCTCAGTCTGGTGTAGAAGTCGCTCAAGCTGGGGGGGAGCAGCACCATAGAAAAATCCTTGTCCTGGGTTGTGGGTCTCTGTGCAGGGCATGGCACAGGATCCCGTGAGGCAGAAGAGACATTCAGGTATTTGAATTAAAAAGGTATTGGTGGGGACTGCTCTAGGAATTCCACTTTGAATGCTGAATTACTGTCATAAAACAGTGTATGCAAGGGGTCAGTGACAGCTCGCTGCAGGCTGTGTTTTGCTTGTAACCGCTCTGTGTTTTCCTTGTAACCTCTAGCCACGGGACCACTTTGCATAATTTTTATCAATGATGAGTGTTGCTTCCCAGACGGATGTTGCATAAGGATGTGTGGTTTTTCTCCTGCACTCGCATGCACTGTGGTGTTGGCAGTTTCTTTGATTTTTTGCTGCCTGTAGTTTCCTCCCGTCTTAGGCTGGCGCGTGGTGAAGGCAGAGGGGCGGCTGCGACCCCTTCGGCGCTGCCGAGCGCAGGAACTCGCCTCTTTCATGAAGAAAGTGCAGAGAGCATCCCCCTGCCCCGACTTGGTGCCAGAAATGCAGCCTGCTGCTGTTGCCAGCGAGCAGGGACCACGGGGTAAACTCTCTGCAAATTTGGGGAGAATTTCCTACCGCCGGCTGCAGAGCAGGGCAGTTGTGTCTCAGCATCCCTCAGCAGGTTTGGGATGAAAAGCAACGCTGTCCTCTTACACCAAGATCATCCCTCATCCTCTCTTCCAGTCTAATTAAATCCCACAACATCGGCTGGCTGCCCTGTCTGGACATGAGACTTTCTTGCTGCTCTTCTCTTGCTCTTCTCCCATCACTTATTTCACGAAATGTAAGGCCCTACAAGGCCAGTTCCTCACCCCAGCACTGAGCAAGTCTGGGGGCTGCTCTGACCCCACACTCTCATTTTCATTGTGCTGAGTACTTGACCATAATCTCTTATTTCAGTTATGCGAAGACAAGCCAAAAAGAGGTGGCATCTTTGGCTACTCGCTCCCCTTCCTAACTACTGGGCTTTAACTTGCTTTTGTTTTTCAAATTTGTATTTATAAATCTGGGTTTTCTGGTCTCCCGTGTTCCCCATACTTGAATTTCTCTCGTGTTTCTCTGCTGGGTTAGAAAGTCATCTGCTCACAGAGGTCTTCCGTGGCAGGAGAAAGAAAACCCTAAGTCGTTTCTTCACTCTCCCTTTACATCAGTTCCCTGTGTTAAATTCCTTAAACATGCTTAAACACAAACCATCTACTTTTGTTGAACTGCAGTCTTGTGCAATTCATCAAAATCTCCTCAATTCCAGTTAGAATGGAAAGTATTTCATCAGCATCCAGTAAGAAGACCCATCCAGCTCTCCTCTGAATGGAGAACCGAAAGCGTGGCCGACCACTTCTGCAGCAAAGAGGAAATCTTTTCACCATTTCCATCCACCATGTGAGATTTCCTGTGGTTCCTGCCGGATGACAAGCTTTCCTCAGGTAACTGCTGCAGCCAATGCCCACAGTGCTTCTCCTTGTCATTGCGATGACCTCGGTTTCTAGTATTTGCTGGCTGTGGGATGTTCCTTGCCACCATCCTGGCTTTTCTTGTCTCCACTGCTGCTCTGTTGCCTATCAAAGCTGGCGCTGGTGAGGGCAGGAGCCATGCCAGGATGGGGTGGTTGGAGGGCAGAAGTCTGGGGCTGGTCTTTGTGGGAGACCACGGGGGCTCAAAGGCGCAGAGGTTCATAGAAACACAGAGGTTCTGCTGGGTGACCCCGAGCATGGGATTCCTCTGCACACAGAGGATGCTTTGAGGTTAGGAGAAACCTCTTAATGACTCTGCAGAGTCATTAACAGGAGAACTCATGTAGATCTTCACTCCTCTGAGGAGCTGAGCCTTTTCCTTCTGCTTTTGAGTATCCAGAGACCCCTGACAAGCAGCAGCATTTGCAGCAGGTACTACCTCTCCTCCAAGCCCTTCTCAATGCCTGGATAAAGACGTGGTCACCATTAATTACAAAGGATTTATTCAGTTTAAACAGCTGAACCCCAGTTGGGAAGGGACCTGGAGAGGTCCTTTCTGATCACTCCACCACCCAGCGCTGCCCATCTGCTCCTCAAGGTCTCCAGTGAGATGATTTACACCCATTCTCACTTATTTCCTGCCTTCCCTAAAAGAAACAGTCCCTACCTGTTCTCCTCATCCTAGATCTCGTCTCAAACAAGGGCTACCTCGGAAGGACGAGTCCTTCACCCAGGGACTCGCAGGTCAGGAGGGGATGGGAGGACGGGCACAGCCGTCGCTCCGTGTTTCGGTGAGTTGGCCCAGCAGGGGTTGGGAGGACAGGGCTTGGTTTGGGAGCTGGGCAGCAAAGCTTTCGTGGCACCACAAAGCAGCACCAGGGCAAGGCCGGAAAAAGAAAGAACAAGGAGGAAGTAAGAAGTTTTGGCAGCTCAGTGCCTCTGGGTGCGCACGGGCAGAGCCCTTTGGGAATTGCCCCCTGGGACTGCGGCTGTGGCCACTTTTCACTCACGCTGTGATCTCCTGGAGGGTTCATCTGCGAGGCTGCGATGAGCAGATTTCCTCCCCTTCATCCAGCTCCTGCTCTTAATGCCCTGTCTCCTGACATAGGGGTATTTGCTTTTTTGGAACTAAGCCAGCGGGGAGAGCTTAAATTGGATTAAATGAGCCTGATTGGGAAGGAGTGGGCAAGAAGTAATTGCAACAACTTGACTGTCGAGAGGCTGCAGGCTGCTAAAAACCCTAAAATCCTGGGAGAGGTGGAAATCCTCTCTTCTCCCTGGGGACAGGAGGGTGGCAGGCGAGGCAGCAGAGCCCAGTGCCTACCAGCCAGGCACTCCTCCATGTCTGTGCAACACTTCCAGCACGAGAATACTGTTTTTTATCATATTACAACAAAAAAGGGACAAATGCGAGACCCCCAGTGACTTCCAGCTCAACACATCCTCGTTCCTACATGATCTTTCCTTTTCTACACATCCAACCACAGCTTGGTGCAGTGAGTGGAGATGGATGGGTGTGCAACGCAGCGTTACAGAGCCAGCTGTGTCCCCACTGTGGTGGTGGGGCAGGGTGAGAAGTGGGATTTGAGGTAAAACTGGGGTGAAGCTGGGATTTGACGCCTGGCAGTGGCGGCAGCTGCTTTGCGCTCCAGCCTGGCCCACGGCCGGGGGTTCCTTGCAGTGGGGTAGGGTCGGTGTCGTGGGGGGTCTGGGCTCCGTCTGCTCCCCACCAGGCACCCAAATGGAATCTGAAAGTTGCAGCCCCATGGGCAGCACTTCCCCTTCTGCGGTTTCCTTGCCCTCTCCAGCTCAGCAAAACTGGGCGATCCTGACATAATTTCCTCGGTGTGATGCATTCATTTTTCCTTTCCTTGAAAACTTGCGCCCGCCCAGCGGCCAGGGGATAAAAGGAGGGCATCGGCACAGAGCATCACCAGAAAGCAGCCCTCCAGTCCCAGCTCCAGCCCAGCTTGCAGATCCCTCGGCTCCCACAGCACCATGAAGGTCCCAGCAGCCGCCCTGGTCGCTCTGCTCCTCGTCGCCGCCTGCTCCTCGTCCGATGCCCAACTCGGTGAGTCCAGTGTCGCTCTGCCCTCGCGGGGCTGTGTGAGCCATCGCTGCACGGGAGCTGCTGGCACAGCCACAGACCCCATCCCCATCAGTGGGGACACTCGTGGCTGCGGGGCGGGAG